AGTTAACGAAAGTCCTCACCAAGAACACGCCCTCGCTCGGCAATTACAATATTCTACTTCTCATTTCGAAAATCCGTACGGCGCCGGTTTTTCTATAATGGATGCATCAACATTCTAACGGTAATCTTAAGTTTACATTTAGCCATGATGAGTTATTTATCAGGAAACTTGCACTGATTTTGTCGCTGTACCATTTCGAAAAAGCCGTACGGCGCCGCGTTTTCTATAATGGATTCATCAACATTCTAACGGTAATCTTAAGTTTTACATTTAGGAATGAAGAGTTATCTATCAGGGAACTTGCACTGATTTTGTGGTTGTATCATTGGGGTATATTTATGTTGAGAATATACGCGGTCCATGTACACTTGTTCCAGTTATTCATTACCTTTTCATTTGGAGCATTGTGTTCAATCGTCAATATTTTCACGTATGAGTGAGTGAGGTGTGTTATGTTTTACGCCGGAACCTGTGCGTAACTTTAACCAGGGATAAGCCGTGGATTGTCTCGCGGAAAAGTAATCACTACTCACCCTTTTAGGTCTTACCAGTAGCGCTTCATATCATATTCCAAGACTGTTATATACGAGGTGAGGTGAAATGGGGTTTAACGTCGCGTCCAGGATTATTGCACTTATATAGCGACGTGTATGTACATGTATGTGTTTGTGTGGCTGCTTGTACTAGTCCGGGCTGATGCCGATTTATAGTGCTAGCTCACTGAGATACCATGCCGCAGTTTAACATGAATACCCCACTCAGACACAGTATACTGACTCCGAGCCGACCAGTCCTTGTTTTAGCCCCCTTAATGCCGAGCGCCAGACAGGGTAACAACAAGTACGATCTTTTAACGTCTTTTGGTATGACGCGGCTGGGGATTGAACCCCGGACCTTCCGCTCTCCGGGCGGACGCTCTACCATTATACCACGGAGGCGGCCATGAAACCGATTATGAAAAAGCACGCATAACATTACCTTTCGGTGTGTATTCGGTCAGGGGTACAAAGATTCAGGCAGAATAGTTTTACAAATATTGAATATTCAAATATTGAATATTTGTATGATGATCGTTTAGAAAACAAAACGGAGTCTCACTGAGGTTGTAATGGCAAACCAAAGTACGCAACTTTTGTAGCTTGTTTTATTAATAACGAATAAAGGGTATAAAACGTAAGCCTCACAAGGCAATATTCGATCCTAACACGACCAAGGGACACTACTCTGGATAGTGAATTACGGCTCCTTAAACCATTCTGCAACCTGTTTATCTGGTCAGGTGTGTAAAACAGTCAGCTAGCAAGCTTCTAGTTGTCTGCATACACAGGTTTGATACTATAGGATCAGCCATTTTCTTTGGACGAATATTAACGCTACGGCAATATAACAGCCCTGTATTCGGGCAGGAACCAGCAAAACCAGTAGTCAATGCACAATTTATGATTGTCACGTTCTGAATATTATATTAAGCAGATCGCCTCCTTTGACCAGTGGATAGAGCGTCCGTCTGGAGAGAGGAAGGTCTGTGGTTCGATCCCCGACCGTGTCTTACCGAAAGACGTTAAGTAATGAGTAAGTGAGTGAGTGTGGATTTACACCACATTTAGCAATATTCCAGCAATATCACCAGAAATGGGTTTCACACATTGAACCCCAGGTCGGGAATCGTCCCTGGGTCTTCGGCGTGACGAGCTAACGCTTTAACCACTAGGCTACCCGACCGCCCCGACGTTAAGGATGGTAGTTGTTGCCTCGCCTCGCACTCGGCATTAAAGGGGAAACAGGGACTGGTCAGCTCGGAGTCGGTATACCATTTCTGAGTTTGGCATTCAGTGGGTTAGCACTATAAAATCGGCATTAGTCCAGACTAATACAAGCAGACACGCACGCACGTGCATGGATGTCGCTTTAAGTGCAATAATCCTGAACGCGACGTTAAACCGCATTTCACCTGACCTCACCTCAAAACATATCTTGTGTGATGAGAACAGGATATATTTCAGTTTAAGATTAATCGCTGTTTTGTGTTTATTTTATTTAATATGAAGTCTATAAATAGTTAATAAACATATGCGTTTTTAGAATGTAGTGTTTGTTGTTTGAGCCGAGTGTACAAGGAAGGTGATTATTCAAGTCTATTCTGCTCCCGGCTGTTTTACTCTCTGTTTCCAGAAATCTTTATCTTACTATCTAACTATCTCAGGTTGAATTCTTAATGTTTTGAAAACATCCACACAAAAAATATATTTCACAGGTGGAATATCGCTGGAAGGACAACTTTGTAGATAGACATTGTGATATACAGACTGCCGGGCTAAATAAAGGATCCACCTGAAAATTCGATTTGAATAAAATTACAAACCGTATCAATACCTTACTGAAAACGTTCGCCGTAATACAGTAAATTTAAAGTCGAAAAGCCATTTCTTGTTTAAGGAAGAGAATTAATGGATGCCAACTTTGTTATGAGGAACAAAACGTTTTAGAGCATGTACTTACTCCTTCATTAGGTGAAAAACTATAAGGCGGAAAACATTTCTTGTTTGTTTCTTTTTTAGCATGGGTGTATTCTTTCGCCCGCAGTTTAGTTGAATGTGTTACTGAATGATTGACACCCAGTGGGAAGTGTGTTTGTCTATCTACCATATGACCGGTTCGATGCTCTACCCGAATACAGTGTGGTTGGTCGGATTTTATTTGTCGGAGCTGCGATAGAACATACAGTATGAAAATAACTGTAAACATGTACACAGGGAGTTGGTGGAACGCCGTTTTGAATATTATTTCAGTTATATCATAGCGTGTCAGCTTTAAGTGCGAGGAAAACCTAGCGGGATGCAGGTCTCAGAAATGGGCTTCACACAATGTACCCAGTGGCATCTGGAGAAAGGATGGGGCAGTGGTGGCCCAGTCGTCTTCGTTGTACAGAGTTGCGTCCCTTGGGTACACCAGGAACCTATGATTGTTGGTTCGAATCTCTGTTCGCCGAAAATATGTTTCTAGGTTTGTCAGCACTATACCCGTGCCCGTGAGTTTCACCAAAGTGGTAAACGACCCGCATCACTTCGGGCTTTCACTACCTCAGATAAAAAGTTTATAGGGGGCTTTCTGAATACCCAACTCAGATATGGTATACTGACTCCGAGCCGACCAGTCCCTGTTTTCCCCCTTAATGCCGAGTGCGAGGCGAGGCAACAACTACCATCCTTAACGTCGGGGCGGTCGGGTAGCCTAGTTGTTAAAGCGTTAGCTCGTCATGCCGAAGACCCGGGTTCGATTCCCGACATGGGTACAATGTATGAAACCCATTTATCCGTGATAATGCTGGAATATTGCTAAAAGCGAGGTAAAACCATACTCACTCACTCACCATAGGATTATGGCACGCCAAGGGGACACAACTCTGCGCCTTAGTCGACAAGTGTCTGTGAATGACTAGAGGGATACTGTATTAGCTTTACTTTACTTACTCCGAAACTTTCCGACCGCCTCCGTGGTCTAGTGGTAGAGCGTCCGGGGTTCGTCCCCGGCCGCGTCATACCAAAAGACGTTAAAAGATGGTACTTGTTGTTACCCTGTCTGGCGTTCGGCATTAAAGGGGCTAAAACAAGGACTGGTCGGCTCGGAGTCTGTATACTGTGTCTGAGTGGGGTATTCATGTTAAACTGCGGCATGGTATCTCAGTGAGCTAGCACTATAAATCGGCATCAGTCCGGACTAGTACAAGCAGCCACACAAACACACACATGTACATGCACGTCGCTATATAAGTGCAATAATCTTGGACGCGACGTTAAACCCAATTTCATCTCACCTCACCTCACCCGAAACTTTCACCGGACGCCCGTTACCGTGAGTGACAGCGAAATTTCACACCGAGGCACATCAGGGAAGTGATTAAGTGAAATATTTTTAAATGATTATTTTTAAGCGATTTAATTGATGAAAGAAACGGTTGGTCTGTGAGGATTGTTTAATCACAATTTAAACTGGGTGCATCACGATAGACCTCTGTATGTTTAACTTTCAAAGTTAATTAACTATAGCTTTGGCATTAATATCCATCGTTAATTAATTATAGTTTTGTGAATTAGTATTATGTTAGGCGAGCATGGACATGGAAAAGTTCGATATTCGTCTTCCCGCCATGATATAGGTTTTAGAATGAGTGAGTGGTATTTTACGCCGCAACTCAGCGTAGCCTCAAAACAAGATACTGGTTAGTGTATGTATTTGCAGTGAGTCACCTTTAATAATCATAGAGACGGATTCTTTTCGAAATCTCATGTGATGAAACTACGGTTATCTGATAGCGTCATATTTTGGAATTTTTATAAATGTTGCAAAATTATTTAATAACATGAAAATTATAGTTTTCACCCATAATTCCATTGTTTTCCATCTATGTTGCGATGCCTCTAGCTCTCTATTTGTTCAGTTCAAAATGATTTACGCCTGAGAAAAACATAGCTTGTAGACATCCATTCTTTCTCGTGCATTATCGTGATAATTATATCGTTAAGAGTTAAGAGACTTGAAATTTGAAAGCTTCAAGCATTTCAACAATAACAAGATCATTGATATTTTTATTAATTTTTCATTTAAGATTATCGTTAATTCCTAAAAAAAATCAGCCACCGGAATGCGAAGCCCGTCTCAAGTAACGGGGAAGTTAATAATTTGTCAGCACACACGTCTGTCAATTATTAAGCACGTATGCAGCTTTCATTCCGGAAGATGTAACAGGTTGAAACACTACACAATACCCAGATATAACAAGCAACGTTACACACTTAAATGGTACACGGCAACGTACGAACTGCCATAGTATGAAAGAGTGATAATTAGTAATGAAATATAATATTCATACAAATCCGAATGTTTTTATCAAAGAGATATCTACACGCGATTGATGTGGACGCCACAATGACATGAAATGTACACCGTTTGCAGGGCACGAGTTGTCAATTTCAGCAATGACTGGCGTTGCCACGCCCCCACTGTTGGTTCACCAATGGCCGCTGTGTGTAAGGTTGTCTAACAGAGGGTCTGGTGACTTGTATCAATAGATTGATTGCAAGCGACGACAGCAATGTCAACGGGACTTCTGGAGATGGTAAGCGATTCCTGTGTCACTCTCTGTGGAATATTTTGAAAGATCGGAGCGAGGAAACGACAGTCTGAAGATGTCCTCGTGGATTCTGGCATCAGGTCTTGTGTTGTGTAATCTCGTTGTTCCCGGTCTCGCTGGAGGCGGTAAGTTCATCCTCCGTATAGTACCAATCTACTTGCGATCCAAATAGTATTTCGTTTATTTACCTTGATAGGAAGTAATTCAGTTTCTAGCAATGTATTGTGATAAAATGTCTTTAAAAGAGAGAATATGAGAGTGAGAGAATGAGAGGGGAGAATGAGTGAGAGAGAGCGTGAATGGGTAAGAGAGTGTGAGAGAATGGAAGGGAAGATGTGAGAAGAAATGAGAGACTGGAGAGAGAATGAGAGTGAGGAGACTGAATGACGGAGTGAGAGAGTGGGTGAGAGTGTAAGAAAAAGAATGTGAGAGAAAATAAGAGAGAGACTGAGCGAGTGAAGAATGAAAAGGAAGATGTGAGAAGAAATGGGAGCGATGGGAGCGAGAGAATGATAGAGAGGGGAGAACGAACGAGAGAGTGGGGGAGAAATAATGCGAGAGATGAGAAGGTGAGAGAGAATGAGAGAGTGCGAATGATAGAGGTGAGACTGAAAAGGAAGATGTGAGAAAAATTAGAGGCGATTATGAATGAGAGAGTGGGGGAGAGAGGGGGAGAAAGAATGAGAGAGATGAGAAGGTGAGAGAGAATGAGAGAGTGCGAATGAGAGAGGTGAGACTGAAAAGGAAGATGTGAGAAAAATTAGAGGCGATTATGAATGAGAGAGTGGGGGAGAGAGGGGGAGAAAGAATGAGAGAGATTAGAAGGTGAGAGAGAATGAGAGAGTGCGAATGATAGAGGTGAGACTGAAAAGGAAGATGTGAGAAAAATTAGAGGCGATTATGAATGAGAGAGTGGGGGAGAGAGGGGTTGAAAGAATGAGAGAGATGAGAAGGTGAGAGAGAATGAGAGAGTGCGAATGATAGAGGTGAGACTGAAAAGGAAGATGTGAGAAAAATTAGAGGCGATTATGAATGAGAGAGTGGGGGAGAGAGGGGGAGAAAGAATGAGAGAGATGAGAAGGTGAGAGAGAATGAGAGAGTGCGAATGATAGAGGTGAGACTGAAAAGGAAGATGTGAGAAAAATTAGAGGCGATTATGAATGAGAGAGTGGGGGAGAGAGGGGGAGAAAGAATGAGAGAGATGAGAAGGTGAGAGAGAATGAGAGAGTGCGAATGATAGAGGTGAGACTGAAAAGGAAGATGTGAGAAAAATTAGAGGCGATTATGAATGAGAGAGAGGGGGAGAGAGGGGGAGAAAGAATGAGAGAGATGAGAAGGTGAGAGAGAATGAGAGAGTGCGAATGATAGAGGTGAGACTGAAAAGGAAGGTGCGAGAAAAATGAGAGGCGATAATGAATGAGAGAGCGTGTGAGAGAAAGAATGAGAGAGGGGAGAGTCAAAAGAGAGGAGAGATAGAGAGCTTGCGTGACACACAAATGTGTGTGACTACCATCAGCACCATAAACAACGGACGATGTGAAAGCGAGAGTAGGTTGACACTCTCATATACTGCAATTAGGTAGTCTACCCAGTACCTCTGCACTATCTGGCAATCAGTTACTTACGTGTGTTGCGGCAGGTTTGTACAGAGAGTTCAACTTATTATTTATACAATGACTCATCAGTGACTTTCTATAATGAATATAAACAGGAAATAGTTTACACAAGACTTTGCACCACGGAAACCAATCCTTAATGGCTACAGAGGGAGCACCACATTTCACATTGGCGCAGATATGAAACATTAAGAAAAAATTGGTTACCGCCGCAAACCCGCATCTGTTTTAAAGAGTGAGTGCGTATGGTTTTACGCCGCTTTTCGCAATATTCTAGCAATAGGACGGCGGAGTACACCAGAAATGATCTTCACATATTGCACCCACTGGAATCAAACTTGGGTCCTCGGCGTGAATAGCGAGCACTTTAACCATTAGGCTACCCCACCTTACCCACATTTTAATGGGTGAGTATGGATTTACGCGGCTTTTAGCAACATTCCAGCAATGAGACGGCGGGGGACACCAGAAATGGCCTTCACACATCGTATCCATGTGGGGAATTGAACTCGGATCTTCGGCATGACGAGCGAACGCTTTAACCACAATGCTACCTTACCCCCACTCCTACCCCCACCCACCCGTATTTTTGGAATGCCTTGGTACTCCAAAAAAACTCGTTATAAAGTTTGAGGATTTTTCTTCTTGTATGATTTCATAGTTTAATGGTCCTATTTAACACACATATTCAAGGCCGGGACTTGTATTACTTGAACCATAACAGGTAATTATATCTGATTGTCCGATACTGTATGATAAGAGATTGGGACTTAAATAGTGACTTAATATACTGTCTGAATCGATATACTGTCTAATGTTATCGATGGAGAGATGGACATATTCTTTGAAGCCGTGACTCACTGACTTGGGAGTTCTGGAGCGAGGCAATCAGGACGTGTGACTATTGACTTGATACAAGGCACGGAAAATATTTGTTGAGGATTATACAGCGATACCTCGTGACGCTCCGTTGGGTGATTGCCACTATATGCGAAGGCCCGAAACGATTGAACGTATCTCGAAACGTTTTGAAATGTAACCCTCTACGTGTTTGAATGACTGGAGTGTTGTGACTATTGACTTACGCTGGTTATGTCTGTGGTATTATATACGTGTTGTAAGAGGATTGGGTGGTCAGGTGTAGTGATCTGACCTTTGCGTGTCATCACGACTCGAGAACCGTCAAAATCCGGGATAGAATGGGTCTTCAGCAACCCATGCTTGTCGTAAGAGGCGACTATGCTTGTCGTAAAAGGCGACTAACGGGATCGGGCGGTCAGACTCGGTGACTTAGTTGGTGCATGTCATCGTATCCCAATTGAGTGGATCGATGCTCATGATGTCAATCACTGGATTGTCTGGTCCGGACTCGGTTATTTACAGACCGCCGTCATATAGATGGAACATTGCTGAGTGCAGCGTTAAACAACAAACAAACAAACCAAAATAAACAAACAAGCATCACGCCTGGATGGCGTGGAACGTAGCTCATGATGTCAATCTTTGGTTTGTCTGGTACAGATTGGATTATTCGCATGACGCTGTGAGATAGCTGGAATATTGCTGACTCATGCGTTATTAACGTTGTATGATTCTGAATGAATAACCGTGTATGCCGCAATCTGATTGGTTGAAAATCGTGATTAAATGTAATAACGTCGTGGGTTCCATATGCACCGTTCGGACATCAAATACTCAATAGCGCCTGTAAATCTGAAAAAACGTAATGTTTTACTGTTAATTCCCTCAGTCACGATTGTTTTCGAGAATATGCAGTTTGCCTCCCTACAGACCTGATTCATGTTTAACCCTCACGATCCGCATACTTGTAATGAACTCTTGAATTAATTCACTGAATTGATTAAACATTAAACTGAAGAACCGATTTAGCGCTGGTTGCAATCGTTTCCCTTGACAATTTCTGTCACTGTTATGAATGAGTGGGTGGGTTTTGAGTGCGTGAGTGAGTCCGTATGGTTTTACGCCGCTTCTAGCAATATCCCATCAATAGACGAGCGAACGCTACCCATTAGGCCGTCCCAACGACCCCACTGTTAAGACAGCAGGACAGTCCCCTGATGACATCATAAATGAGGCCTTATTTTTGTTACACCTTGCCATTAATCCTGCGACTATTTCTAACAGTCACCACCTGCCCTTAAGAATATGTAGACAGTTAAACATCCCAGTAAGTAAAACGTTTGCTTAGACGCAGAAGATCCGGGTTCGATTCCAAACATGGGTACATCACGTGAAACCCCGTGCCGAACACTGTCCGGGAATTTATAGAATAGTGCTAAAACAAATGTGAGACCATCCTCACTAATTGACAAACAAATAGACAGTGACAGGTGTGTCTTCTTCCTATAAATGTTTCAAACTTATTAAAACGACTTCAAAGGCGTTGCCTGCATTACTTGAAGTCAGGACCATAACTTATGGCTGTAGGGCTATAGGTGATATATATATATAGCACCCGTATTTATCTTTTACTGGAGAACGTCCCGAGTTGACATCCATATGTGTCATGGTAGGCAGACAGACAGACAGACAGACAGGCAGACAGACAGACAGACAGACAGACAGACAGGCAGACAGACAGACATATTTTAATTAAAGTCTCCCCTTATGTACAACAGTAAGTAAGGATAAGATATATGGATGATCAACTTAATTACAATTAGGAGCGACGTTTCGGTGTATGTTCAAACACCGTTATCAAGCAAGTGATGAGTGTGTTAGAACCTACACCGAAACGTCGCTCCTAATTGTAATAAAGAAGTTGTTCATCCATGTATCTTGTACTTACTTAGTACTCCAACTTCTAAATGCCTCTCAAAGACGTTTTGTACACCAATTCATACTCTTTAAAACGCAGATAAAAGTATACTAAGCTGTCCCTGTTTAACTACGAGAGGCTATGTATACTACAATAAACTACGGTTATAACGAACTCAAAGGGACCAATTTTAGTTCGTTATAACCGTAGCTCGTTATAAGCATATATACAGCAAATATACAGCAAATGGACGGGATCAAAACACTTTTCTTTAGATCAGTCAGTTCGTTATAAGCGTCTTCGTTATAAACCTAGTATACAGTATTCAAAAGACGTTAATCTATAGTTAAGGTGAGGCGAAATTGGGTTTAACGTCGCGTCCAAGATTATTGCACTTATATAGCGACGTGCATGTACATGTGTGTGTTTGTGTGGCTGCTTGTACTAGTCCGGACTGATGCCGATTTATAGTGCTTGCTCACTGAGATACCATGCCGCAGTTTAACATGAATACCCCACTCAGACACAGTATACTGACTCCGAGCCGACCAGTCCTTGTTTTAGCCCCTAAATGCCGAGTGCCAGACAGGGTAACAACAAGTACCATCTTTTACCGTCTTTTGGTATGACGCGGCCGGGGATCGAACCCCGGATCTTCCGCTCTCCGGGCGGACGCTCTACCACTAGACCACGGAGGCGGTTTAATCTATAGTTAATCTGTCGTGGTAAG